GTTCCTCCTCTGACTGTACCTGGAGTACTATGCCGAGTTCAGGTATCTCTTTAATACAGGTGGTTTGGCTCCTACCTATATATAGCCTGGGGGGAAGTAATCATGATTTTTAGTAATTTCTTTAAATTGGTGATTTTTTTTAGTGTCAGGTATAGATAGAGATAAATAACAAAGAAAGAAATTTGTAATCATCAACAGGTTTTTCCTGTCTGCTGCACAGACAAAATAAATTCACTGAGACAATGGCCTTGCAGTTGAGAAAGAATTTAATTGATGTGAGGCCAGCCTGAATGGGAAAAACTGAAGTTATCACTCAAATCAGTCTCCCTGAAGGCTCAGAGGCTAGGATTTTTGTGGACAATTTGAGGACTGGGGAGCTACGGAATAGGTGCTGCTGATAGGTTGGGGATGAAATCATAAGGTGTGGAAAATGGTCCTCATGCACTGAGGCTGCCTCTGGGTAGGGCCACAGGACCAACAGAATCATGAGTCACAGGTCCTAGCAGTGCCAGTCTGTTGTCAAAATGTCTGAAAAAAATCTCAAAAGATAAAGCTTAGGTACTACAATGATAATGTTATCCATAGGAGCCACTGATAGGAGGAAGTCACAAATCCTGTCACCTCTGGCTACATGACACCTGAGCAGTAAGGAATTATAGAACCTTTGCCTACATCTTATCAGAATTCAGAGTCCTCTCATAATCCTAACTTTGTCTCTTTTCATTAGTTTTACAGAGGTAGTCTAGTTTTGCAAAGAGCTATTATCATCCTTGCTTTAAGGTCAAACTATGAACTAAATTCCTCCCCAAATTGGCTTAGCCTATGCTCAAGATTGACCAAGGACACCAATGAAGTTTAGAAGCAAGATGGAGTCAACTATGTCAGATCTCTCTTGCTGTCATAATGTTGCAAAGGTGGTTTTATATTTAGCCATTATTTTTTAAGCAGGAAAGATAAAGAAGTTAAAGTTTACTGAAAAGGGAATGAGGTGGGTACACAAGTAATCTAGGAGAAGCCATCATTTTTCAAACAGTACTATTGTGCCAGGAAAATTCACCATTTACCCTTCTGCCCAGGATTCTCCTACATAGGTATTCAGAGGTTAAAGCTTTGTGTTTCAAACTATGTAACATTGGGAAAATCATTCCACTAGTTCATTTATGGGTCTTTGTAAATTCTGAGAGGAATTTAAAGTGTTGTGTCAGGTTTAGAGTCAGGTATTTGAAAGCTTTGGCACTCCTGGGTTAAGCCATCTCAAATATAAGATGGAATTAAAGCAAGGAAAAAATAATAACACATTAACTTTTAATTCATTGTTGTCTTAGAGCCTGAAGGCCTCTGAGAGGTTTAACAAAAGACCATGAAGAATAACATGCTTGAAATACACTCCAAAGAAGAAGAAAGTAAACAATGAACTTCAAATAGTTCAAGGCAATGCACACTAACAGTATGTAGGACCAAAAATAAAAGTCTAAAGAGAAACTAAAAAGCTTTGAGACTGGCCTTTAGGATGGTGCATATGAGAAGGGGAAGAATTTCTAGTTAAAGTCTTTCAAGATCCAACAGATTATACTTTTTGATGGCCAATAGTATCATTCTGACCTTGACTGCTGCTGTGGGAAATGGCAGGCATTCAAATATGGCCATGCATTGGCTCCACGTCAGTCAGACACTGAGAATAATGATGGCCCAAGAATAGAGGTCCTTTTGCTATATTCTTTGTTCTCTGTGGGAGAAAAATCTGAGAAAGATTTTCTATTATACCCCAAATAGCATTCTTTCTGGCAGCGCATAATGGTGGGGAAAGGGAAGCATATTATTAAATGAGGGGAAAGGTTTACCTATGGAAACTTCCGTTTATTGCATGCCAATATAGTCTGGGTTTCTACTAGGCACTTCATCTATGTTAACTCATTTAATCCTAAAAATATTCAGAGATAGGAATTGTTATTTCTATTTTACAGACATGAAAACAAAGATGGAGAGTGATAAGCCATTTGCCCGAAGCCATCAGAAGTAAAATTTGCACTGAAATATGTTGAGTCCAAAGTTCTCAGTCTTTAACCACTATGCTTTTCTACCCAATAGCAAATTTCAAGACTTGTGAGATCATCTCTAGTAAGTTTTATCATTTTATCCATCTACTTTAGGCAGATATTATCCAGAGCACCCTAAGATCTACTGTACTCTACAAGGAAAAAGCTGACTTCTAGGTTTTTACTAAGAATCCATCTGCAGGGAGCAACCAAGACAGCCAAATAGAAACAGCTCTGGTCTGTAGCCCAAGATGGTCAGATAGAAAGAGCTCCACTCTATAGCTCCCATGGAAAAGAATTAAAACAGCAAGAGAATTCTGCATCTTCAATTGAGTTACCCAGATTCTCTCACTGGGACTGACTGGGTGGTTGGCACAAGCCAGGAAAGCGAGGAAAAGCAGAATAGAATGAGGGCCTACCAGGAGCTGCACAGGTCAAGGGGAGCTCCCTCCTCCAGCCAAGGAAGGTGGTGAGAGATTGTGCCACCCCATTTGGAAAATCACATTTTTCCCACAGATCTTTGCAACCTGCGAATCAGGAGGTCCCCTTGTGAGCCCACTATGCCAAGGCATTGGGTCCTAAGCACAGAGCTATGTAAACTTTCTGTGGTTGCTTGGGTGGGTGGCCACTAGGGGAGGCACTGAGCCACAGGACTTTTTGCATACTCCAGCTCTGGGACCTCCAGTGAGGCAAGAGATCATCTACTCCTGTGGGAAGGGGGCTGAAGCCAGGGAGCTAAGCAGCCTCACTCAGCAGGCCCCACTCCCACAGAACCCCAAAAGCTAAAGCCCACTCGACTGGAGTCCATGCCAGCCAGCACTACTGGCTAGAAACTGCCTAAAAAGATTGAGTTTTGAGGTGGGGAGGGCGGCTGCCATCACTACGGCTCAGGTTGGCCATTTTCCCTTGCTGCAGCTGTCAGCAAGACTGGGCGGTTTGGACTGGAAGCAGTTCCCCACAGCACACCACAGTGGCTATGACAGTTTATGACCATGATGCTTCTTTAAGCAGATCCCAACCGATTCCTCCTCATTGGGTGGAGTCTCTCTGAGGGATTTTTAGTATCCTCAGCCAGGGGTTTATGGACAGAATTCTGATCCCTCTTAGTGAAGCCCCTAGGAGTAGGGGCAGCTGCGGTATTATGGATCAGTGGTCTTAGTCTTTTCTGCCTACTTGTTCTGGAGAGTCAGGGCAGCCTAGACAAGGGGGACTCCCCTGCAGGGCAGCACACCTGCTTTGCCAAGGGGCAGCCAGACTGCTTATTTAAGTGGGTCCCTGATCCCATTCCTCCTGATTGGGTGAGACATACCAACAGGGGTCTTCAGACATCTCATACAGGAGTGTTTTGGCCAGCATCAGGTCAGTGCCTCTCTGGAGCAGAGCTCCCAGAGGAAGGACAGGATGCCATCTTTACTGTTCTGCAGCCTTCCCTGCTGATACCCCCAGATACAAGAGGGACACAGGCAAATAGGGTCTGGAGTGGACACCCAGCAAACCACAGCAGCCTCACATAAGAGGTGCCTGACTGCTAAAAGAAAAACAAACAGAAAGCAACAACAACAACAATTTAAAGAAAACACACACACAAAAAGCCATCCAAAGATTAGCAGCCTCAAAGATCAAACGTAAATAAACCCATGAAGATGAGAAAGAATCCAAGTAAAACCACTGAAAACTCAAAAAGCAAGAATGTCTCTTCTCCTCCAGATGATCTTAACATTTACACAGCAAGAACACAGAACTGGGCTGAGGTGGAGAGAAACTGACAGAAGTAGGCTTCAGAAAATGGGTAATGGTGAACTTCACTGAGCTAAAGAAATACGTTTTAACTCATTGCAACAAACCTAAGAATCATAATAAAACATTAGAGGAGCTGTTAACCACAATAACCAGTCTAGAGAGAAACATAAATTACCTTAAGGAACGGAAAAACACAACATGAGACTTCACAATGCAAACACAAGTATCAATAGCCAAATAGACCAAGCAAAGAAAGGATAACAGAGCTTGAGGACTATCTTGTTGAAATAGGCAGGCAGATAAGATTGGAGAAAAAAGAATGAGAAGGAACAAACAAAACCTTCAAGAACTATGGGATTATGTAAAAAGACTGAACCTATGACTGATTAGGGTACCTAAAGAGATGGGGAAAACAGAACCAAGTTGGAAAACACACTTCAGGATATCATTCAGGAGAACTTCCTCAACCTAGCAAGACAGGCCAACATTCAAATTCAGGAAATACAGAGAACCCCAGTAAGATACTGCATGAGAAGATCAATCCCAAGACACATAATCATCAGATTCTCCAAGGTTGAAATGAAGGGAAAAAATATTAAGGGCAGTGAGAGAGAAAGGCCAGGTCACCTGTAAAGGGAAACCCATCAAATAAACAGCACACCTCTCAATGGAAACCCTACAAGCCAGAAGACATTATGAGCCAATATTCAACATTCTTAAAGAAAATAATTTCCAGCCTAAAATTTCATATCTGGCCAAAATAAGTGAAGGAGAAATAAAATCTTTTTCAGATAAGCAAATGCTGAGGAAATTTGTGACTAACAGGCCTGCCTTACAGGAGCTCCTGAAGGAAGCACTAAATATGTAAAGGAAAAGCCATTACTAGCCACTAAAAAGAAAAAAAAAACAAAACTAAACTAAAGTACACAGATCAATGACACTGTGAAGCAACTACATAAAAAAGTCTGCAAAATAGCCAGCTAGCATCATGATGACAGAATCAAATTCACACATAATAATATTAACATTAAATGTAAATGGGCTAAATACTCCAATTAAAAGATGCAGAATGGCAAACTGGATAAAGAGTCAAGATTCATCAGTGTGCTGTATTCAAGAGATCCATCTCACATGCAAAGACACATATAGGTTCAAAATAAAGGAATAGAGGAAAATTTACCAAGCAAATGGAAAACAGAAAAACTAGTGATTATAATCCTAGTTTCTGACAAAACAGACTTTAAACAAACAAAGTCATAAAAGACAAAGAAGGTATTACATAATGGTAAAGGAGTCAATTCAATAAGAAGGGCTAACTATGATAAATATAAATACACCCAATGCAGGAGCACCCAATTCATAAAACAAGTTCTTAGAGACCTTCAAAGATACTTAGACTCCAACACAGTAAGAGTGGGAGACTTTAACACTCCACTGTCAATATTAGACAAATCTTTGAAACAAAGAATTCACAAAGATATTCAGGACTTGAACTTAGTTCTAGATCAAGTGAACCTGAGAGATAGCTACAGAACTCTCCATTCTAAAACAACAGAATATGCTTTCTTCTTGGTGCCACATGGCACTTACTCTAAAATTGATCACATAATTGGAAGTAAATCATTGCTCAGCAAATGCAAAAGAATTGATACCCTAACAGCCTCTCAGAACACACTGCAATCAAATTATAACTCAGGATTAAGAACTCAAGATTAACAACTATATGGAAACTGAACAACCTTCTCCTGAATACTCCTGGGTAAATAATTAAATTAAAGCAGAAATCAAGAAGTTCTTTGGCACTAATGAGAACACAGTGACAACATACCAGAACCTCTGGGACACAGCTAAAGCAGTTAAGAGGGAAATTTATACCACTAAATGCCCACATCAAAAAGCTTGAAAGATCTCAAATCAGCACTCTAATATCACAACTAAAAGAACTAGGGAACCAAGAGCAAACAAACCCCAAAGCTGGCTAAGACAAGAAATAACCAAGGTCAGAGCAGAGCTGAAAGACATAGAGACACACAAAACTGTTCAAAAAAAATGAATCCAGGAGCTGGTTTTTTGAAAAAATTAATAAAATAAATGGGCCATTAGCTAGACTAATAAAGAAGTAAAGAGAGAAGAATCAAAAAGACACAATAAAAAAATGATAAATTGGATTTTTACCACTGACCCCAAATAAATACAAACAACCATCAGAGAATACTGTAAACACCTCTATGCAAATAAACTTGAAAATCTAGAAGAAATAGATAAATTCCTGGACACACACACCCTCCCAAGACTGAACTAGTAAGAAATTGAATCCCTGAATAGACCGATAACAAGTTCTGAAATTGAGACAGTAATAAATAGCCTACCAACTAAAAAAAAAAAAAATCCCAAGACTGATAGATTTACAGCTGAACTCTACCAGAGAGGTACAAAGAGGAGCCGACACCCTTTCTTCTGAAACTATTCTAAACAATTGAAAAGGAGGGCGTCCTCCCTAACTCATTTTATAAGGCCACCTGATATCAAAACCTGGAAGAGATATAACAACAACAAAAACTTCAGCCCAATATCACTGATGAACATTGATGCAGAAATTCTCCATACAATACTAGCAAACCAAATCCAGCGGCACATCAAAAAGCTTATCCACCATGATCAAGTTGGCTTCATCCCTGGGATACAAGGCTGGTTCAACATATGCAAATCAATAAACATAATTCATAGCATAAATAGAACTAAAAACAAAAACCATGTGATTATCTCAATAGACACAGAAAAGGTCTTTGATAAAATTCAACATCACTTCATGTGCAAAACTCTCAACAAACTAGGTATTGAGGGAGCATACCCCAAAATAATACAAGCTATTTATGACAAACACACAACAAACTGAATGGGCAAAAGCTGAAAGCATTCTCCTTGAAAACCAGCCCCAGACAAAGATGCCCTCACTCACCACTCCTATCAATATACTACTGGAAGTTCAGACAGGGAGAATAAGGCAAGAGAAAGAAATAAAGCCTATTCAAACAGGAAGAGAGAAAGTCAAATTTTCTTTGTTTGCAGATAATATGATCCTATATATAGAAAACCCCATCATCTCAGCCCAAAAACTTCTTAAGCTGATAAGAAACTTCAGCAAAGTCTCAGGATACAAAATCAATGTGCAAAACTCACAAGCATTCCTATACACCAATAACAGACAAACAGAGATCCAAATCATGAATGACCTCCTATTCTGAATTGCTACAAAGAGAATAAAATACCTAGGAATACAACTTACAAGGGAAGTGAAGGACCTCTTCAAGGAGAACTACAAAATACTGCTCAAGGAAATAAGAGAGGACACAAACACATGGACAAACATTCCATGTTCATGGATAGGAAGAATCAATATCCTGAAAATGGCCATACTGCCTGAACGAGTTTATAGATTTCAATGCTGTTCCCATTAAACTACCATTCACATTCTTCACGTAATTAAGAGAAACTATTTAAAAATTCATATGAAACCAAAAAGGAGCTCACAATCCTAAGCAAAAAGAACAAAGCTGGAGGCATCATGCTACCCTACCTCAAAGTATACTACAAGGCAATAGTAACCAAAACAGCATGGTACAGGTCTAAAAACAGACACACAGACCAATGGAACAGAATCGATAATTCAGAAATAAGACCACACATCTACAACCATCTGATCTTGGACAAACTTAACAAAAACAAGTAATGGAGAAATGATTACCTATTTAATAAATGGTGCTGGGAGAACTGGCTAGCCATATGCAGAAAACTGAAACTGAACCCCTTCCTTACACCTCACACATAAATTAACTCAAGATGGATTAAATAATTAAATGTAAAACCCAAAACTATGAAAACCCTGTGAGAAAATCTAGGCAATACTATTCAGGACATAGGCATAGGCAAAGATTTTTGTAATGAAATCTCCAAAAGCAATTGCAACAAAAGTAAAAATTGACAAATGGCATCAAATTAAAATGAAGAACTTTTGCACAGAAAAAAAAAAAAAAAAAAAAAAAAAAAAAAAACTAAGAGCAAACAGGCAGCCTAGAGAGTGGGAGAAAATGTTTGCAATCTATCCATCCGACACAGGTCTAATATTCAGAACCTACATGGAAGTTAAACAAATTTACAAGGAAAAAAAACCGTTAAAAAATGGGCAAATGATATGAGCAGACATTTCTCAAAAGAAGTCTTTCATGTGGCCAGTAAACATATGAAAAAAAAAAAAAAAAAAAAACAACATCATTTCATCACTGATCATTAGAGAAATGCAAATCAAAACCTCAATGAGATATGATCTCATGCCAGTCAGAATGGCAATTATTAAAAAGTCAAGAAACAACAGATACTGGCAATGTTTTCGAAAAATAGGAAGAGTTTTACACTGTTGGTGGGAATGTAAATTATTTCAAACATTGTGGAAGATGGTGTGGTGTTTCCTCAAAGATCTAGAACCAGAAATATCATTTGACCCAGCCATTTCATTACTGACTATATACCCAGAAAAATATAAACCATTCTATTACAAAGATACAAACACATGTATATTCATTGCAGCACTATTTACAATAGCCAGAACATGGAATCAACTCAAATGCCCATCAACAATAGAGTGGATAAAGAAAATGTTGTATGTAAACACCATGGAATACTATTCAGTCATAAAAAGGAACAGGTTCATGTCATTTGCAGGGACATGGGTAGAACTCGAAGCCATTATCCTCAGCAAACTAATGCAGGAACATAAAACCAAACCCTGCATGTTCTCACTTATAAGCAGGACTGAACAATGAGAACACACAGACAAAGGGAGAGGAACAGCACACACTGGGGCCTGTCAGGGGATTGGGTGGGGAGGGAGAGCATTGGGGAAAATAGCTAATGCACGCTGGTCTTAATATCTAGGTGATGGGTTGATAGGTGCAACAAACCACCATGGCACATGTTTATCGATATAACAAACTTGCATATCCTGCACATGTACCCTGTAACGTAAAATAAAAATTTTAAAAAACAAAGCAAGACATCATAAAGCTTTTTAGCACAAAGCTTGTTTCTAGTATTTAGAATTGAATATCTGCATAATTCTAAAAGATCCCAATAAACTCTGAAATGTCCTTTTTTAGCTTCTAAGAAACGCCTGCTTACAACCTGGTGAATTAAAACATGGGGTCTATTCAGTGATAAAAAACTGCACATCGTAAAGGTTTTTGACACAAAACTTATTTTTAGCTTTTAGGGCTGGAAAAAAAAAAAGAATCCTTCTATGAAAGGCATACCCTATCAAGGTTGCACCCAGCCCTTCTGTTGATTAGGTTTCAAATGGCCCAAGAGATAACCCATTTCATTAAAATGGCAAAAATGCTAACTCTGTCAACCTGGTGAAGAGAATCAGACACAGCAAGTCATCCAGCATCTGAACAGTTTTACATTCATTAAAGGATTGCCATAACAGAACTCCTCCATAATCCTATCTGAAAATATCCCACTGATGCAATTTTGAAAGATAACCATCTCTCTGAAAGGTCAAACTTTTTTCAGAGATTATTTTAATGCCAAAGTTAACCAAAATGGCTACAGAGGCCCACACCTACAATTATCAAGAAAAGTGAAATAAATGCCAATTAACTTTATATTCATTTTATGCATTATTTCAAATGTTGATAACAAAACATTTCTGTTGTCAAAATAGATTCAATGATCATCTTAAATCACATTACTAATTTTTTTTTTTTTTTTTTTTTTTGCAAAATGAGACAATATCATCATATAAAAACACCTCCTTCCATGATAGTAATAGTAGTGTGGATCGTATGTGCTTAAAGTAGATGGATAAAATGATAAGACTTACTAGAGATGATCCCAAAAGTCTTGATATTTAGTGATGGGTAGAAAGCCACAGTGGTTAAAGACCGGGGGCTTTGGACTCAACAGATTTCAGTGAAAAAACTCTCACTTTCACTTTCAGTGATAAAATTTAGCCACTGAACGGTCTTGGGTATGATTTTTTAAAAATCAAATACTAACTATGCTACCCAAAGTGGTCTACAGATTCAAAGCAATCTCTATAAAAATACCAATGACATGCTTCACAAAAATAGAAAAAACAATCCTAAAATGTGTATGAAACCACAAAAGACCTGGAAAACCAAAGGAATCTTGAACAGAAAGAATATAGAATCACATTACCTGACTTCAAAACATACACAAATCTGTAACAACCCAAACAACATTGTACTGGCATAAAAGCAGACATATAGACCAATGGAACAGAATAGAGAATCCAGAAATAAATTTACATACAGCCAAATGATTTTGGCAAAGCTGCCCAAACACACAGTAGGGAAAGGACAGTCTCTTCAATAAATGGTTTTGGGAAAACTCGACGTTCATGTGCTGAAATGTGAAAATAGGCCCTTATATTTCACCACATACAAAAATCAAGTCAAAATGAGTTGAAGACTTAAGTCCTAAACAATAAAACTACTAGAATAAAACAGTGGGAAATGTTCACGACCTTGGTACGGGGAAAGATTTTTTTGGATAAGACCTCAAAAACACAAGTAACAAAAGCAAAAATAAACAAATGGGACTATATCAAACTAAGAAATCTCTGCATAGCAAAAGAGATAATCAACAAAGAAACAGCCTACGGAATGGAAGAACATATCTGCAAACTATATATCAGACAAAGGGCTAATAGCCAAAATACATAAGGAGCTCAAACACCTCAATCACAAAAACAAACCAATTAAAAAATGGTCAACAAACCTGAATAGACATTTATTAAAAGAAGACATACAAATGACTAATGGGTTTATGAATAAACACTCAACATCACTGGTCATCAGGGAAATGCAAATTAAAACCCTAATGAGATGCCAACGCACTCCAATTAAAATAGCTAAAAAAACACAAAAGATGAAAAGTGTTGGTGTGACTGTGGACAAAAGGAAACCCACTGTCAGTGAGAGTGTAAATTATCATAACCACTATGAAAATCATTATAGAGATTCCTCAAAAACTTAAAAGAAAAATACCAGCAATCTTACTACTATCCAGTAATCTCACTACTGGGTGTATATCCAAAGGAAATGAAATCAATATGTTAAATAGACATCTGCACTCACATGTTTGTTAAAGAACTATTCACCATAGCCAAGATATGGAATCAACAATCTGCCTCTATCAACACATGACTGCATAAAGAAAATGTGGTGCATATATACACAATGAAATACTATTCAGCCATAAAAAGGAGTACAATCCTGTCATTTATGACAACATGTATGAAAATGGAAGGCATTATATTAAGCAAATAGGCCAGACACAGAAAGAGAAATACCTCTTGATCTCATTCATATGAGGAAAATAAAAACGTTGATCTCATAGAAATTGAGGGTAGAATAGTAGCTACTAGAGGCTATGGAGCGTAGGGAGGAATGGACAGATGGGAAGAGGTTGGTCAGTGGCTATCATGTTACAATTAAGTAGGAAGAACAAGTTCTGGTGCTCTATTGCACCATAGGATGACTATCGTTAACAATAATGTATGATATACTTCAAAACAGCTAGAAGAGAGGATTTTGAATGATTTCACCACAAAGAAATGATAAAATGTTTAAGGTGATAGATATGCTAATTACCTTGATTTGCTCATTACTCAATGTATACATGTACCAAAACAACACATTGTGCTCCTTAAATATGTACAATTATTGTTTCAATCAAAAATCATACTTTCAAAAATAAAAATAAAAAAATTGAGTCCTAAATATCTCAGATTTCAAAATTAAAAGGATACACAAAAAAATTCTGAGAAAGTCTTGATTTGAATTTGGTTAGATTAACCATTCACAATAGAAAGCCATTTCCATGCAGCATTTGAAAAGGATCATCCATCACAGAGACTAGCACATTCTCCATGCTAGGCTGAATCTTGGAACTTAATGAGAAGTTACTGACAGCTTTCGTCTTCACAGCTGCCCCTGGAATTTGTTAATAAGTCAGTTCTCCTGACAGGCAGATACCGGAAGTCACTCCACCATATTTCAATGAATACAAGTAATGCAGCCCCCTGAAAACTTATTCTTCCAATTATTTGAACTAAGTACATGTTCCTTTTAAAGGTCATCAATCAAGTATATTTAACAAATCTAGCCTTATGGTTTTTATCACCTTTAATATAACTGTTTCTAACAAACACAGGAAAAAAAATTGAATGTGTCATGATTTCCCAATTCTTGTTTTTTTCCAAATTGCAATTCTCACATTCCAACTTGATCATCAATTATGTCACCAATAGCCTATTACATTGTACATGAGTGTCATAACATATGCTATCTTAATTAATTCTCAATCCTCAATAAAAAGGTACCATTGATACTTTTTTACAGATAGGTAAACTGAGGTTCTGAGAATGTGAGGCCTAGATTACATTGCTATATAGGGCAGAATGATCAATTTTTTCCCCACTTCAAGAAAAAATTTACTTTTCCATAGAGAAAGAAAATGAGATCTTTTAAAAATTATATGTGCTGAAGTAAAAGTGTTAAAACTAAGTTTTTCACAGACATTTTTAGCTTAAGTCCTTCATAAATTTATCTCAATGGATAGATTGATTGACTACTGATTGATTGATTGATTGATAATGAAGAAATCATTGCTCCCTAGATTTCCACCAGGGGCCATATTCTTCAGTTGGGCATCAAAGACTCTTTAAAACTACTGTGTTATTGTGTGAAGATGGGGGTGCACCACATTAAATAATTATAAGCCATTAATATCATTCTACAATTTTGTTTAACCAATTAACTATAATCATCTAGCAGGTCTTGAAGAACCAGATCACACAGAAGAAGAACAGGTATGTTTGATATTTCAGGATGGAGAAGAGAAAGGCTAATAGTGTTTATAGGCTTGGCACTTTTTTTTTTTTTTTTTTTTTTTGAGATGGGGTCTCAGTCTGTTGCCAGGCTGGAGGGCAATGGCATGATCTCGGCTCACTGCAACCTCCACCTCACGGGTTCAAGCAATTCTCTTGCCTCAGCCTCCCGGGTAGCTGGGACTACAGGTGCGCGCCATTGTGCCCAGCTAATTTTTGTATTTTTTAGTAGAGACAAGGTTTCACAATGTTTGTTAGGATGGTCTCGATCTCTTGACCTCATGATCCACCCGCCTCAGCCTCCCAAAGTGCTGGGATTACAGGCATGAGCCACTGCGCCCGGCGAGGCTTGGTACTTCTAAAATATACATTTGAATTTATTCTGCCAGGTTCTTCTCCATGCTGATGGAAATGGCCATTGAAAGCACTAATGCATAATGCACACAACATTGTCAGACAGATTTTCACATTCCACAGCATATGCAATAGCTTGTCCTCAGCGGAGCCACACCTCCCCCCAATAACATTAGCCTTTTCCGACTTACGGGTCTTCCCCTCATGGTGCCAACCACACATACAATTTCAGAGCATATTTTCTGTCACCTTTGCTTCCTTCAAGATCTATTCGCTGTTCTTCTTCTTTCTTAGAGGCAGGGGTGAAATCAGGCAGAAGTAGCAGCTAAAGATATATTTTTCATTTATAAACAATAATTGCATATCTGTGGACAAATAATCACCTACATATCAAGGACAGATCCAGGACTAGTGCCAGGCATAATAGCATAGCTATACCTCAACATGTGCTGGCATCACAAAGCACCTATCACAGACTCCTCCGAAAACTCCTCCTGGTCCACCCTATGTTTAAAAAGAATATGAAAAGATACAGAGTAGTTATTTGGAAAATGTATTATTTAAAATGCATTTTAACAACAATTCCACATTTGGTGGGTTAAATTTCTTAATGCAGTTTTCTCTAAGTTTGTTCATAAATGACAATATCTTTTTAAAATTATATGTACTGGAGCAAAAGAGTTAAACTGAGTTTTCTCACAGGCATTTTTATCTTAAGTCCTTCATCAATGTATCTCAATAGATAGATTGATTGATAATCAATTAATTTTCTCATATATCTACTTTCCGATGTCAAGAAATAAAGGATCTGTCAATGATCCTAAACAATATTTCCTCCAAGAATGTTACTGAGGCCATGAAATCACCTACCATGCCTTCACAGGTCTGCTGAAACCATGACAAGCCAATTCTTTACAGATTTAAAATGTCTTGATATTAGTTCTTCACTAAAAATGTAAACATTTTGTGTAATTTTGTCCTTTAAAAAAGACCACCCTCAAATGGTTAATATCCTTATTAACCAGGGATGTCATAGAAATAACTTGAAAAATACTAAGGACCCAGTAAGTCGATGAGCAAAAAACTCGCCATCAAAATCAGGAAGCCCAACTAGCATGGAAACTAAGGAACCCTGTTCAGAGTTTTTATTAATAGAAGAAATACCAAAGAAACGGAAGAAAAATAGTGTTTAACCTACAACTTTTGAATTACATAAAATAAAATTGTGATTGGGAGTATAAACTGGCACAAGGCTTTTGGGAAGTAATTTAGCAATACATGTCAAGAATATAAAAAACAGTCTTTGTCCTCCAGGAAATAAACATTAGTGTGAAGGGGTAAAGCATCTAATCAAATTGGTTTATCACAGCCTTTGTCCGAATATTGCAAACTTTTAATAAGCTTTTTAATATTTTTAGGAATTGATATTTAAAATGAAAAGCTAATTGTCTTTAAATAAACACTACCCTCTTCCCCAAACCCAGAGAAGCCATGAAGATTCCTCCATGAAAGTAAAGAAGGTATCTGTAAAATATAAAGCCTCTAGGAAGATTTAAAAGGCTGATATATTGATAACAATAGTTCACCTACAAAACACTAGAAGAGAAAAATCGTTTTTAAGGTAATATTACACGTGAGGAAGTGGTTTCTTTTCACAAACAGAGCTCTTGGGAAACAAATATTTGCCTTTGGCAATGAAATGGCTTGGCAGGCTGACTTGGAATTAAGATTGGGTTATGGACAAGGAAGAGAGAGAAGAACAAAGGGGAGGAAGAACCAGGTAGCTATTCACTAATTGAATCTTTCCAGAAAAAAAATAAGAATGCTTTTATTCACAAAGTTAGAGCAAGCGAGAGAGAGAGAGAGAGAGAGAGAGAGAGAAACACATGTAGGTCTATAAGACTTTCTGGGGACGACTTTATAATAATTCCAATCTGCAGAAATGTTTTGGTTACTTCTAATCTGAAAGGACTTCTATTGTTTTCCAGCCTTTCAGTATACTTTGGAAAGGAACCATGACCTGAGGTATTGTTGTCTTTGGAGATTAAGAGAAATGCAGTTCTCTGCTATCATTCTTCAGATCCCTTCCAATTATAACCAGTTGCAGGCAGTTATGTCTGGCCTTTGCAGCTTGGTGACTACTAAATAATTGGAGTTGAGATGTCAAATATTTCCCTAATGAGCTCAAGGTCCAAAGTAAACCATGAACTGAAATCACAATAGTGAGACATTTCAGTGTATCTGCTTCTCGAGATGGGTGAGAGCTGTTATGTCCCCAAAAGCATGTGCGTGACTGCTTGGGGGGATGGGGGAAAGAAAGAAAG